CGAGGGCGATCGAGAGCGTAATCAGCATCTGTTGAAAGTTAGGATGACAGCAATTACGTTTCAGCGAAGAACCACCTCGTACAAGGTACGTATAACTCCCGTGTAGCCAATCCACTCAAGTTCATTTTATGTTTTTATTCAGTGAATATCGACAAACAAAAGATAAACATTTTACCGGTGCGAACACGAAGAGTGAGCTTTTGTTAGCTTCAATCCGAAGTACCATTCTCTCTCTCTCGCCCGCGCGCGCACTTTAATGGGCTACAAGGCGACTGTTTGGTGGTAACATCGTAACGCTTGGCAGAACTATATGCATCTATAACCTTGAAGACGTACACGATACCCAGGTCGTGTTTGGCTGCCCAGTTCAACCCACCACATGCATGCGACTTTATCCCTAAGCTGGAGAGCAGCATGAGAATTTTCGTGATTAAATTCTTTGGTATCTCACGCTGTAATCAAGGTGCTGTTCTGTTCGTCTGTCTGTCTGTTTCCGGCTCTCACTATAGAATACTGCGCGTTGTAAAATCGTCCAAGAGATGTAACGTCGAAGCACTTGGTGGTGATGTGGCGGGACTTGCCGGGGTGCGGGTGGGTGGGGTAGAAATAGGACTGGTTTAACCAAGATTCAATACATTGACTTTGAAGTTGTCAAAAGCAATTTTAACACGTGTGATCTGTAATAATTCTTCCTGAGATCCAGACGATTTGACTGAGTTTGTATTACTTTGTAGGCTTGAATCGCACCATCTAAAAACATTCACATGCACACACACCTATATAAGGCGGGTATGATCAGAATTATCGTGCACCGATGTAGTGTGCAAGAAATACCATGTGTGATCTAATAATTCAAGAATTAGTCCCGTAAAGTTTGACAATAACAAACCCATCTGATTAGGTCTGTGGGAGAGATGCGACGGGGGGGGGGNGGGGAGGTAGTTGATGCGAAGTTATTCACAAAAATCATTAGTCTTATGCTTTACACTATACCTATCCACCAGTTAGCTATTTCTTCAAGATGAAATAAATTTGTTTGCAAATCTTGATTGAATGTCACTGCAAGAATTGTGACTGTGAGGTTTTTCCTGAGCTATGTCAAGCACTGTATCAGTGAATCGTAGAAAACGCACTCAATACCACACAGAGCTGATATGTGTTGTCACGTGCAGTGGTCGCGTTTAGTAGTTATGTTCTTTTTTGACTCAGTACCACATCCGCTCGAAGGCGGATTGCGTAATGAAACAGATTAGTAGCCCGGAGTGGGGAAGAGATCATTTTCTGTCCTTATAACGAAGCAGACTGTCAACACCATACCAATCAATTTTTGAAGCATTACAAATCACTATACTATAAGGTTATTAATCCAATACAAAATCATTTTGTTCAATTCCAAGTCTAATTTCTCTCAAAATGCACAAGAAGTGCACACTGGGTATAACCAGTCGTTTCCAATAATATACAGTGAACGATTTAAAAATACGATTCAATTCGCAGGAAACCATTAAGTTCCCCTTTTCCTTCTCTTGCCAGCTTGGAGCAAATTAGAGGAAAATACGCTCGTATATATATATATATCTATATATTTGTGTGTGTCTTCGAAAACGGACTGATTCCGGGCATCCAACGATCTGAACCGCAATCATCGGGACAGTAACTGGACACAACTCACCACATTCTGGATCGAGTAATTACGGACAGGTCTTATCGATTTATCCGTCAGGGCTATCGGGCGGAAATGCACACTCCTGAATTCAATCGGACAGTTCAAAACGATCAATTTTACTTTCCGGTTCAGGAACCGAACCAATTTCACTTATGTGATTTATTAAGATTCATGGTTGATCAAGGTGTTTGTCTATTGGCCAGTTCAAAAAGCATGTGTTGACAGGACAAGCATTTTCGTCCGATTCTTCCGCATTCTTCGCTCAGCAGAAATTTATGGCATGGATTCAGAATCATATCTTCAATATAAAATAAATTTGTCCTCCCTTATTTTTGTGCTAACAAAAGAAACCTTTGCACAAGATGTGCAACTGATAGGAACGTCTCTGCAGGACAGGGCACATGATTTTGCTGTGTAACTATAGTGTCCAAGCAAGAATTGTGCCAAACGTCGTTCCAGACGGTTGGCTTTTTCNCCCCCCCCCCCCACACACACACACCCCTTTTCCCCCTTCTCACCCGCGGATCCTAGTCAGGCATTATTCAGCTCTCCAGTTTGATTGATATGCTGAGCCAGTGATCCGTGAGCTTGTCGCCCGGATGAGCGCTCGAGCATCTGCTATGTGGTTTATGAACGAGCGAGTGAGGAGGGGCGGGAACAGTAGTCAGTTGTACTCTATTCCTCAAGTCAGCACATTTGCTACGAACCTTTCTCATCCTGAAAGTACCCCCCACCCCCCCACCCCCCCGGTCGCGTGTGGTTCAACCGGAGAACGGGAGGAGGGGGGGCGAGAGAGAGGGGAAGGGTGATGGTGCAAGATGATCTACATTACCCGACTCATTTCCACGTGTGCAAAAATGCGAAGGGATCATAAATGATGAATTGTTCTCATTAGTGAGACACACCACGACATCTCAGTGTCTTCCTAGTGTCATAAAGTTACAAAAACAAAATGCGTGAGGTTCGAGTTCCGGGGAATGATCTGAGAGCTTGTCATATGCAAGGGGTGGTAATGCAGTGGCTAATGATGGCTGACTGTATTGTGGAGCAGTGAAGTGGTACGCGAAAAACGAACGTCTGATATCCAAATGGATACATTGTTTTGCATTTCAAACTAGGTTGAGATGAATTTCGGACCAATGTATGCAACTGCGACTTTCTCGGTGGATTTTGCAACCCGATGCTATTTTTAATTTGAATTCGGACATTAAATGATGACCAATTTGGAACAGAAGCGAAAGATGCTAAAATCCCTTGATCAGAACCGTTTTACTTGACATTGATAATATCCCGGTGATTGCTGAGGTGAGATACTTTGACGCACTTATCACTTATCTCTTTAGGAGACTTATCAGCTGCAAACTCTCTCATAAATCACAATACTGCTTAGCTCGAGTGCAGTAACTTTGTAATTATTTGATCCAATTCGTGATGATTTACTCTTAAACCATCTGGTAAAACGGCGATAGATTGTGAGCTTTCACTCCAATGAAGATCATACATGTGCACCAAAGAAATTTGATTGACTGGCTGATTGACTGACTGACACAAAAGAACATGCGTTACTCTCCATCATATTTCATCTGACTTACCCTTTGTTACGACGATCCATTTCACAGAACCAATAGCTAATCACACCACCGTTAACTTTCTCCATCGAAGTTTGCGACATAAGTTTGGTTGTGGCTGCACGAGCTTTGCTGTCCATGGGGCGCAACAGGCTCTCGTCATCCGCGTATCCGGACCCCGAAGACCACTGGTTGTAGGGGAAAACAGTGGGGAAATTGAATGAGGGATTTTATGTTTATGCTAGGAGAGTTTGAGAGGCAAGAGTACAAAAGGGTGGGGAAAGTTGTCATTACCGGAATCACGACCAGCGGATGCTGTGAAAACTATATATATATATATATATATGCTTTTCCGTCAGGAAATTTGATTTGTATCACACCAGCAACGGGCGAACAAGAGCATATTGATCAAAGTCGAAATTATTCAAGCACATATCCTATTGAATACCAGCTACACGGTGAGATGATGCAAGGCTAACCTGGGACAGTTTCAACTAGTTATGGGCGAGTGGCAGCTATCTACTTTCTGTGGGGTTGGCACGATTGCTAAGTTCGGTGGTTCGAGGATTCCTGCATAGTCTTTATGATCAGTTTTATGGATTGAATAATTGACTCTTGATACCACCGTGTTTGTTGAGGGTCATCATAAAGATTACTGCAGACGACAGCACACTCGTGTGCTTCGTGGTGGGGATTCCCTACCTCTTCCTACTCCTGTTCCGCCAATCAGCTGCATTTCTATTCGTGCCTCATCTTCCACAACAATATGACTTACTTTTTCAAAAGATGGGTACCACAGTCAAGTTAGTTAACGGGAACCGTTTGGAAAACCGATTGTTTGATTGAAAAGCAAACCGAAACATAACCGAAGTTCGAAAACCTGAGTAGAGCAGACATTCATTCGACGGACACAGAAGCAGTCGAGGGGCATAAATTGGAAGTTCAGTTATTCGGGGCAGCATGTTTCCAGTTCTGGTGAACAAGAACATACGTACAAAATATGTTTGCATTCCATGCATGGACATGTGAATCTTGCAGCTGACTGTGAAGCAGAACGTGGTGAGATACCTGAGGAGCATTCCGTTGTCTGTTCCTAGATCTATCCTATCATATCTGTTTTGTGTTTGGTATGTCAGACGGGTGACTGTATGAGTTGTGGTCAGAATACCGGTGAAAGAGAGAACCGAGGTTCGACTGCTCTATCAAGTTCCGATACCTAGGCTATTGTTTGTGTTGTTTCAGTTTTTGGAGTGACAGCTTCTTGGGGTGAATAGCATCATCTCGGGAATTCGGCAATTATTAGTTTAGGCCATTCACAATGAGCAAATCAGTATTTGCGACTGAATCCAAGTGCTTGCGACAATTATGTATTCGGATTATTGTCTGTCGCGGAAACGGAGTTTCTATTGTTGAACCATTTGAGTTTATCTCATCTTTGGCTTTAAAGATAGATGATGGAAGTAAAATATTCGATAAATCATGTTTTGGGACTAAACAGTGATTGGTGTTGAACTCTCAGCCTCCTTTCTCAGAGCGCATCTGTGAAAGTGACTTGCAGTTCTTGCCTATTTTTGATCCGTTTCAATTTTTAACAATTAGTGCCAGTGCGTTGTGTATTTCATTAAAAGTACATTGGTTTGCCACCCAACACCTCGAACACAAATACACTTCGACATGAAGAAAATTCGACTACATCTGATCTCTAAAATCCAAGACAGTGAGTAGCTTTGAAGTACTCAATTTTTCATTCATTTACTAAACATTTGGTAGAGCGATGGGGAAACGTTTGTTTGGCTGTTTATGTTGTGTGATTGATTGACCTACTGCGTAGCTCTTCGAATTCGAAGTTGGATGCACAAGACAAAATAGTGTGTG